GGACTGGTGGAGGGTCACGTCACCTTGTATTTGTTGGTGGATTAGTTTCAAATCACAGCAAATAATGAGTCCAGGAGTGACTCCACTTCTTGGACTCGCGATTAGAAGTGTTCCCATTGGAAATGGCTGTGCAATTTGGGAAGGAAAACTTCAGGGAAAGAAAAAGTACTGATGAAGCCCAGCTGTACCTAAACGAGGAGAGGATCCTGCCGGGAAGGAGAGCAGGCAGCAGGACACGGCCGCCGCGAGGCCGAGACACGAGCGGACATCTCCGCATCCCCCTCGTTACCCTGCCCATGGGACACGCTGAGCCAGCAGGACCGCAGGCTGCTGCCCCGCGGCGCCCGTGCCATCGGGACACGCTGGTTTCGCAGACACGCTGCTGTTCTCCCGTCACTGCTCACGAGGAGCCGCAATTACCGGTGCTGGAAGCGATGAGCAAACCCCTCCTAAAAATCTGTATGTCAACAGCTGCATTTCAAGTCTTAAAAGAAACATTTTGGAGACCCGAAGGGCATAGGTTTGCATCCCAGCTCTCCCAAACGCTCGCAGCGTAGCTGTGCTCTGCAGATTGCCCCAATTTGCCTGTTTTATGCCCAGGCTGCTGTGGCCGGGATGGGGGGTGGGAAGTGCAGCCCACCCAGGTCCAGGCTTTGGGAAGCGAAGCACGAGAGATGTCCGGAGAGGAGGAGGCACTTACATCTCCCCAACCCTCATTCAGGGCTGGAAGCTGTACGGGGCGAAGGCAGGAAGGGCTCTGCAGCCCGGATCGCCCTAATTACGCCTGAAATAGCAGCCCAGAAACTTCAGAGACAAAAAGAAAAGAAAAAAAAAATAAAAATCACTTCCATCTCTGGCCCCGGTCCCGAGCGGCTGGCAAGCACGTATTTATTTACCTGGGAGTGACGAACAAACAAGCGCAGAGCACAGTTCTCACCGGCTCGGGCTGCTGGGAGGAGGCCAAGTTTCACATTTCGTTTTACAGGTCTGTTTGCTAATGGCACATCCCGTGCCAAGGAGGCCGTGACGCTGGGTTTTTCACCGGGCGCCCCGTTTCAGCTGCCGCAACGCCGGGCTGCCTTCTCCCACTGCCCCCCCCCTTCCCCCCAGCGCTACCCAAACCCCCCACCCACCTGCAGCACCCGAAATCGTTTTCATTAAA